GAGCTATATCTTGAGCAATTTGATAAGATTTTGGCTCAAAATTTCAAAAAATGTGTAATTTCATGTTAATAAACTTTGAACATAAGTTTAATGACATTTGAATATTGGGTTCTTGAGATATTAAGAAAATAGTGCTTAGGTGCTTGTAAATTAGGGTTTGGAGCATCTGCTAGGGTTTCTTAGATGCCAAAAGCTTGGGAGTGAATTTATAGTTGTTTTTTTTTTTTTGATAAAAGTGAAGGGTGATTTCTACCTATCCTATGAAATTGAAAAAAATTGAACAGTTAAATCAAGAGTTATGAATTTCTAAAGCTTAGAAAGAGAAAATCCTTTGAGGGAAAAATATATTTTGAAGGGATTTTGTTATATTTTGAGTTTTATGCAAATCAAAGGAGTTTTGGAAGATAAGATAAGATTCAAATAAAGATTTAAGCTAAACTCTCTATAGCTAGATACCTAGTGTATTTCTAGATAGCAAATCATGCCATATGACAACGGATTATCTAAAGCTATTATATTATATCCTTTTTTAAGATTTTATAAAATCCTTTTTAAGATTTTAAATATGAATATAAAGCTCCCTTTGGCTTTTCATTCTCAAATTGATGGACAAACGGAATGGGTGAATCAAGTTTCAGAGCAGTACTTAAGATGTTTCATTAATTATCATCAAGAAGATTAAACAACTCTTTTACCATTGGCAGAGTTTGTATACAATGATTTGATACATTCATCCATTCAAAAAATACCTTTCTTTGCCAATTATAATTATCATCCATAACTTGATACTTTTAACTTTTCAAAAGTTGATAATCTTACGGCAAAAGTTTTCATAAATTTTTTTTAGAAGTATATGCAATAATGAAGGTGCAATTAAAGGGAGCTCAAAGACAACAAAGAATCAATGCAGATGCCTATCTCAGAGAACAACCACAATTCAACATAAGTGACAAGGTATAGTTACTTTGTCACAATATCAATACTATCTATCCTTAAGACAAGTTCGATTACTATAAGCTTGGATCTTTTTTTATTAATAAATAAATAAATTATGTTACTTATTGATTATATCTACCAGAGTCTATGAAGATCTATCCTGTATTTTACATATCTCTTTTTGAATCATATAAGACAATGAATATCTTGAAAAGAAGACAAATGCTACTTCTTCTTATAGAAATAAATAATAATCAAGAATTTGAGGTAGAAGAAGTTTTAGATTCAAGGTGGTGCCAAAATAGGTTAAAATATCTTATTTACTGGCACAGATATGACATTAGAGAATGCACATAGAAGGCAGTAAAGAATCTTGTAAATACTACAATGAGAGTTGAAGCTTTTGATTGAAAACATCCATAAAAATCAAGATGAAGAATAGCAGATCTTTGCTATAAAAAAACAAGATCAAAAGAAGATAATACTCTATCTTTTATCTTTCTTTGTAGCTTCTATGTATTTGTAACGCTAAAGAGATGGAGAACCAACAACCAGCACATTCAACTAAAGAGCTTTTATTTGTTCATTTACCAAATGATACAATATGATTATCACAATCTTTAAGATGACATAATCAATATGAAGATCTTGAAGAACAACATATCATTCCTTGAATAGATGGCAAGATATAATGTGTTTGGTATCATGACTTTTGAAGACAGTCTTGATGTTTGATAATTTTATTAGACGTAAAAACAACTCATGACAGTATTTCAAATATTTTATTTGAAGAAGGTTAAAAATGCCTCAACAACCATCAAATAATAAGATCATCTTATTGCCTTGGTATAGAACATTATTGATGGCTGAGAGGACCTATCAACTGTCTTTGAAGAAAACTAAGATCAAAGTATGTGGCAAATACAATTTGTTGCATCTTAAATTTCATCAACACATAATGATCGCTCTTCATAGAATTCATCTCTAGAAGAGGAGATAATGTCATAGATATACATAGGTACTCTAATAAATACCTATATAATTAAGTAGAAAGTAAAAATAAAAAGTAAATAAAAATAAGTTAATTTTATAATATTTTTTAGATAAGCTTCCTAGAAGCTTTAAAGACTTTGTTTTGACTTTATATGTATGAAGTTGATTAGTAGGTTATTAATTTAGTCAATAAGTTAATCATTATGAGCTAAAATAAATCTCTACTAATTGAAAGTTTATTTTAACTCATAATAAGTGAATTAACTATGTGAATTTAAAATAAAGTTATTCTTTAAATTCTAATCCACTTATTACTTGTTATTATTTAAATTCTAATCCACTTATTACTTGTTCTTAAAACACCAAGTTATTCATCAAATCTTCTAACATTACTCACATTCACAATGATAATTCACTCTTTAATTTCATGCAAAATAATTCTTTCTTTTTCTTTTAACTAGATAATCTGGTTTAATTTTTATTTTATTTTATTTTATTTTTACTATTATTATTATCTTTTTTTATTATGCCATTTTTATTACGTGTTATTATTTTATTATTTTATCATTTTAAAAAAAAATAAAAATTTTTACTTCTTAAATAATTGATGGTAAAAGTAATTAATTAATTTATTATTTTTAATCCATAGTTACTATAATTTTTTAAAAGTTTGGATTAAAAATTAAAAGTTAAAAATTAAAATTAAATTTTTAAAAATAAAAATAAAATAAAATATTAAAAAAATAAAAGTTAAAAAATAAAAAATAAAAAATAAAAAAAAAGAGAGAGAAGATTAAAAGTTAAACATTAAAGCCAAAATTGAAATATAGAAGTTAAAATTTATTATAAAAAAATAAAAATAAGAATAAAAAAATAAAATAAAGAGAGGTATCAAGAGAAGTACCTTAACAACGCCCAAGGATTGAGGGAAGCACCTTCTTTTTACTCCAAAATTCGCCAAAAATCCAAATTAGCTCCAAATCTAGTGATTTTTATTGTGTTGGAAATTTAACTTCAAGAATCTCTTGCTTTGCAATTTTCGTGGAAATCTAGTACCTAAACTGCGAGCAATGCTTCTTCAAAGTTGGATCATTGGGCCTGCTACTACAGCCGACCCCCTTCACTCAAAAATTTGTTAAAAATTCAAAATTGCTTCAAATTCAATGCAATCTATGCCACTGGAAGATCAGCTTGAAAGTGCTTGTATTTCCAAAATTCTCAATCGCCTTTTCAAAATTGAGTTATTGAAATTGCCAAGGCAACCGCCTCCTTTGTACTAAAAAATTCACCAAAAATTCGTTTCAACTCCAAATTGAGCAGGCCTTAGCTCGTTGGAAAGGTGATAAAAAGGGCTACGTGATGAAAAATCTTCAATTACAAAACATAAAAAACCATAGACTGATTGAGGAAAATCCGAGGCTCGTCAACCCTTTTGACTATGGAAATGGTTGGTGACCACTAATTGCAAAGGGGCACCTTTTAAACCACAACAAGCACCACCCATGGCACAAAACCAATGCTCATATGTTCCTAAAGTTCACAATGAAATCTAAGATCAAGAAAGAAGCAAAAAAATAAGATTAGGATTAAGGTTGAGACCACATTTTGGTATGGCTTCACCCTCATCAAAAGAAAGACAGAGAGAGGCTTGAGAAACCAAACCATTCTTATACAATTGAGTGGTGGCTTGTGGAAGGGCGGCCACATCTCTACCCTTGATCTCTAAGATCCCTAATGTGGATCTACGGCCTTCTTTCATTCAAGAGCTAATTTTGTGACCAAAGTTGATGGCTCTTGTAAGTATAAAAAAAAAAAAAAAAAAAAAAAAAAAAACTTTTTGATAAATCTAACTTAATCATTGTCTTTAAAACACCTTTTTATGCTAAGATTGACTACTCACATGCATCAATCTATGCTCCTTTGCAACTTTAATGAAGGTTTTTTACTTATAAGGATTTAGGTAATATTTGTAAAATTCTTCAAAAAATGAGAATTCCATTTCTATACTTTACTTTGAAGGAAAGGGTGTTGATCTTATTTTCTTCACTCCACGTGGTACATTTGATGCCTCCATTGCATTTGAAAGGCTTCCATAAATTAGGAGAATCACTTTGCCACTTGGATTTATTGAATTTGGAAAAAAAATCTTCAAATCTATCATAATTAAACCTCACTATATTTTCTTTTTTCTTTTTTGACACCAAGACTACTTCTTTTGTAATTCCTCTAGTATTAGCTAACTAGAAAAATATAGTCTTTATAGTTTTTTCTCACTAAACTCTATCCTAGATAACATGTCCGCTACTAGCAATCTATTTTCTATTTTTTATTAAAATTCTAATATTAACTCATAAAATTTATGTTTTAAGCACAATAAGTGTATTTTTTATACTAAATATCAAAATGAGTCAATTCAATGGCTCACAACCACGTGTTGGTAGCTTGTAGAAGAAGATAACTATGTCGCATACATATAGAAAACTTACTTTGTAAGTTATGATATGTATCTTGCAAAGTCAACATGTTTTAGAGGTCCCATAGGACATTGCCACATAGCTCCTAATTAAGAGTATATATGGAGGCAAGAGTGAAGCCTTCTTCACTCTTGTCAATGCCTTTTTAGTCCTTAATCTTGTTTCTAAACTTTCTAATCTTCTTGTTTTTGGCAATAGCCATTCTAGTTCAATAATTCATCATCTTTGAGTGACTTTCTAGTTCTTTTCAATGTTTTAAGAGTGTATTGAAGATTTCTTTCTTCGAGATTCATGTCCTTGACAATTAGTTTATTAATACAAGTTCTTGACACAACCAACATCTTGGCTTTGAAACTTTTTATGTACACAAGAATGTGGATTTTTTTTAAGAGACATTTTACTAGTAACAAATTTATTTTACATTGTTTTTTAGAGAATGGTTGTTCAATTGAATTTACCATCCTTGTACTACCACCATCCCAAGCTTTGGATTTGGGAAAAGTTCATCCCTCCCACAAGTCGGCACCACGAAGGAAGGGACGGGAAGGGAGATGCACAGCTGGATACACCATCGTCGTCATCGCAATGCTGGAGGAGAGCAGCCCTCATCTCAGTCTGCATAATCATCACTGTCAATGTCGGCATCATCTATCTCTCTCTGTCTCTGCATCACACTCTTCTCTTCTTTATTCTCTCCTCCCCTCCCCTTCTCTTCTCTTCCCTTTCGTGCAATCCATCTGGTGCACCGGACAGCGTCAGCCCTGGTGGTTCCTGCAACTCAGCTCAGCTGGCTACCAATTAGGGTTCTCTGCTCCCCTGTTTCTTCTTCTTCCTCCTCCTCCTCCGCGCATGGCTTGCTGCTGACTCCGGTCTTGCTGAGTACAGGTTCGGAATTGATCCCAATTCTGGTTCTAGGGTTCCTGAGCGCGTGTTGGGGCGTTTCATGTTTGATGCGTTGACTCTCGTGGACAAGCAATGAGCCTCTTTGTTTCTTTTTTTCTTTTTATGATTTCCATCGATTAGGGGTTTGTGTTCTATCGGAGATGGTTTTTCGTAGATTACAGTTTTTGGATTGCCACAGTCTATGTTTGATTTACTTGGTATAGTTTAATCGGTTGTAGAGGCAGCTTTGATTGATCATTGGTCGGATCGCCAAGCACGTCACTTGCTTGAATCTTAAAGTTCTGCTGGGGTGCCCGTATTCAGGGTATGGAGTCGCAGCTGAGGCGTTCGGAATATCGAACTTCACACGAATTGAAAGGGAAAGGGAAGGATGATACTTCAAAAATGACAAAACCGCCCGGGTTCCACAACAAGTCCTCTACCGCGTTGGATCCTTATAGTAGTCTTTCCGTCTTTTCTTCTGGTGATTCCAGTGCTTTCAGTGGTAATGTACCAGATGTAGGGTCCTTTTTCGGCACTAGCAGCACGACTTCGTATCTGATGAACTCTGATTTCGATAGTTTATTTGACGATGCTACCCCAGAGGTTGCACTCAGCACTTCCATTGCTGCTCCAAGAGGCAATGAGGTCAAGCATTCAGCATTTAGTGCGGCCAAACTGCAAGGGTTGTTTCTGCCTTACCTTCCTCAAGACGATGCTGTGGCCGCGGGATTGGGGGAGAAGGATGGAGGAATTGATGCTTCAGAAGCACAGGAGGTCGTCGATTATTTAAATCAACAACTTGCTTTCCTCTTACGCTGCCCTCCACCGGAATTTTGGCAGAAAGGTATGCTTAATGCACTTCATTATTTGATGCACTCTTGTTTTATTTAAGCTGTCTGTCCCTTGTCTACATTAATAAGGGAGTTTTATTATGGCTTTTACGTGGTGTTTCTGGGGCCCTTGTTACTGCTAGCAAATGATACAAGCTTTTATTTAAATTATCATGTGTATCAGAAGGTGACAACCAGGTGCGTCCGGAAAATATCAATTAGAGGTTCTCCTCGTAACAGATAGTTGCGCTTTCAGTGTAAGATGTAGCTAACTGAAGATTAAAATATGCAGTTACAATGGATGAATCGCTGGATACCTTTATCGACAACTACCTTCATTTTCGAAGAAGATGGTATGATAGCACTGCATTCATAACGAGCAGCAAGCAGACAGCTGGGGTCATTGTTGGTGATGGAGACCTTAGTCGGAGAGTATTCATGCTTCTATACAGGATGTGAGTGCTCTCCCTTCTTACGATTTTTGTTCTATTGAATATATGTAGAGGCAGACATACACTTGTGGTTTCTCATTAGTTTATCAGCGTTATTCTATTGATGTTTGTTTTCAACCGTGTCAAATTTTGATTGCATGCTCTGGTGTTGCTGATTTTGGCGTATGTAAATGCGTTTTATTTCCGCAGTTCAACGCATCAAGAACCCGGATTACCATCTAGACAATGTTTATCCGCTAAAGAGCATGCCGGTAAGGTTTTCTATATGAAGTCTGCTGTCAGCCGTTTAGATCTTGATAAGTCTATTGTGTCTATTGTTGCGCTTTTGTGTTAATTTTTGAAGGTTTTATATGCCGAACCTAACCTTGCAGGCGATCCTAGATGCAAATAGTTTATTGGCTGGTTCATGCTCTGATGTTTGGTGGTATGGTGGTGTTCCTGCTTCAGGTCTTTTGAAGGACTTTAAGCTACTAAGTTTACCTAAGCTTCTAGATATTTGCGCTGTATACGAGCACGATAATCATGAATTGACCAGCCGTTTGGTAACTGTCTCCTCGTTATTTCTCAGTTTAGAAGAATCTTGTTTCTCGAGTTTGCTCTCATATTTTTTTTCTGTAATTGAAATTCGGGATTATCATTTGGAATTTGTGGGTATGGTTCAAGGTTTGCAATGTTTTTAGAGCTCAGCCCAGCTTCGCTAGTGAATTGGCCGCAATGGTGGCTCCAGTTTTGGAAAGAATTGATGCAGTGTATAACCGCTGCCACATAATGATGCTTGTGAGTGTTCAATACTGTTTCACAACTTTTTCTTTTCGTTGGGTTCATTTTCACTTTGCTTTCAGCTGCATCACAGATTCAAAGCTTCACAAACTCATGTTGCATTCTTATATGAACGGGAGTTTATGTGTTATTTTTTGAGCCTCTTTTTCTGCCATCTGCAATCATTGCAGAAGAGTGGAGTGGACGCAGCGAAGGAACAACCCACGGAGGTGATTGATATTTCATTGCCACGGATCAAATTCAATATTGTACCTGCTTAAAGGAAGTCTGAACTATTTAAGCAGCGGAGCAATTCGATGCCTGATATCATCATTTTATGTTGTTTTCGCTGACGTTCTCTAATATGATTTTTGGCGCAGATTGTGGAATACTTGAATGATGTGATTATCACGCTTGATTCTTTTATTAGGTCATATTCACCTGCAGCTTTTACTCTCATTACTGCCGGAACGACAAGGTACTTGCTTCTACTGACCATTTCTTTGCGGATCTTAAAAATGAAAACGTGATAAAATTGATCAAATCTGTTTTCAAATGTTCTTCTCAAAAATTGCCATTGGCATTACTCACACTTTATATTTGGTGTGGCAGTGAGAGGATTGGCATGTTCCTTCCTGCTCTAAGTGCAATCTACGAATACATGCTACCAGTATTGAGCAACTTAATTCAGAAATTGTCATCAGTGGAGGCCGTAGAGGCTGCTTGTCAAAATCAGGTGAAACGCCTCAAATCCAGAATTGTAAAATTTACCTGGAAAATCCTAGAAACATGCTTTCTGGAAACGGAAGATGAAGAAATTGCTAAATTTGGTGACTTTCCTAGTTTGGGTGGAACTGCTGAACCCATAAAGGCGATTTTTGATCCAATTGCGAAAGGGGAACTGTTAGTGCAAGCTGCTATTGTCATGACTCAAACTCTCGAAGAAAGCCATCTAGAAAAAGCTTTGGCATCTTTTGTTTCCAATAAATCAGGAACGCACATGGGAGCTCTTTTGCGTGTAATGGAAAAACGACATGGACTTTGTGAGGTAGTTCACGAGCGTTGCCAGAGTGGTGAGTATCTTCAGTCCTCTCCCAAGATTTTTTTGGTTGTTTGTAAGTACAGTTCCAAGTGAATAACGTTTAGAATCAAGAACTTGGGCACATTCTAGAGTTTAAAGTTATTAGAGATACCACTTGTGCCGTAATGCAACGGTAGTGCCAACGTTTAGTTTGTCGACGTGTTTTTTTCATTATATGACATGGTGAAACTTTCAAACACAAATAACGTACTACCGAATTAGTGTATGATTTAAATAACTTAGTATCCGATGTCAATCCGTCAACAGGAAATTACTCAGGATATAAATCTTGCATTGTAGTAAGTATATCTGCCGTTAATTGGGGACTTTTTGTAGATCAATCGGCCGCCTTTCAAGAAAATTTAGTGTCCAGCAATTACCAAGGAGCAGGGGAATCAAGTTTATTGGTTTATGATTGCAGGTTCATTACTCCTAGATGGTACTCAATATGAGTATCTGCTGTCCTTAGTTAGCGGGCGCCAAGCTCCGCGAGTATCCAACCAGAACGAACGGTTGAAAAAGCAGGACAACGTGCAGGAGGAAGAAGCAGTTATGTTACAATCGAAGATTAGTCAGGTCAAGGAAATATTTCCCGAGTTCGGAGATGGCTTTGTAGCTGTATGCTTGGAAGCATATGATAATGATCCTGAGAGAGTTATATCTTGCATTTTGGAGGATAAAATCCACCCCGACTTGGCTTCTTTGGACCGCACACTGCCCACAAAACCTAGCAGGAAAGTTGAATCTTCAAAAGACAAAGGGAAGGGCAAGTTACTTGAGGAACCTCGAGTGGAATCGAAAGGGAAGGGTGTCATTGGTTATGACGCCAGCGGCTCATCTGCCAGGGTTTCTTCTCGTACGCTGGATGGGAGTGCAACTAGTAGCGAAAGAGAGGGAACTCCAAGTAGAAGACCGTCATTTTCTGCTGCAGCTACGGAAGATTTATCGAAGGCACAAGCTGCCAACGCTAACCAAGGACGATTCATAAGACGTGGCAAACAAGATGGAACTTTCAACCAGTTCATCGATAGTAGGGAGAAAGATGCATCTATTAGTGCAACTCTTAGGGCTGCGAAACAGTATGAGTATGAAGATGAGTATGACGATTCATTTGATGATCTGGCAGGCACTTATTCAGCAGACATTGATAAAGAAGAAGAAACTGAGAATTTGGTAGATAAAAGCAAACGTTATTCTGCTTCTGGTAACGCTGTCGGTGAGGTCTTAGACCGGAAGTCCGACGGAAAAACGATCTTCACGAAAGGTGGGTTGCACCAACCAACGTCTGACCAAACTTCTGATCGCAGGCAGATCAGACAACACGAAGCCTCCAAGTCGAGAGGTCCAGCAGTGCTGCACATGCCAGACCCGATTTCCTCTGCTAACACTAGTAGGACAGGGCACCAGCTCTCGGGCCGTGGTGACCTTCAATCTACTTCTAATCGCAAGTCCACTTCTATAGCCCCTGAATCTAACAGCTCCGGTTGGGTTGCCCCATCTGATGAAAGTTTGTCTAAAATAGCAGTGAACCCTGCAGATGGGGGTAAGGTTCCACCATCTCAAGGAACTTCTGCATCTGCACGAGGGGGCAAGTCACAAAGAGGAAAAGGAAGAGGAAAAGGAAAAGCTGACCCAACTGCAAACTTCTATCTCAAGGATGGAAAGCTTTACACCTACAAGGTATCCGCCACTGTACCACAAGTGCTCCTTTTCTGGTCTAATTTGCTGGAATGTTGGTTTTTTGTAAATAAGCTGTATAGAATTTTTGTCAGCTTCTATGATTTTAGCTTCATGTATGTTGCGGCTTCTTTTTCCTCTTTTCTCACACATCTCTAAGAACATGTTCATGGAGCTACCTGTACGAAGTTGCCTATTATATCAAGGGATTAGGGAAGCAGCTTTGACCACTTGTTCCTAGATGGCACACGGATTTGTAATATTTGGTGGAGCAGTTCCAGTGTTTAATTCGGATATTTTCATTGTGCAGGTGGCTGGTGCAGAAGCGAGCTATGCTACGGTTGAAGAATATGAGGCCTCCCGCATGGAAGAAGAAGAGACGATGTTTGGTTTAGGAGCCGGTGGCAATGTGCCAGCCGTGATTGCAGATGAAAGAGAGAGTTCGGGGAACGTGGGCGCACAAATACCTGGTGGTAGAGGCTCAAGCACTCGGGGTAGAGGCGGTCCACCTGGCAGAGGACGTTATTCATCGAAATCTAACGATAACCACCGGAGAAAGGATCAGTCGATGAAGAAGCATTTTGCAGGTTTATCGGGCTTGTAAGGGACAACTCATGAAATGCAAGAAGATACAATAGTCCTCATTCAACGATATCCCAAAGCAGTTTTCATTTCTAGATTTGAAGTTATAGCATTGGCATAGCATTGCTTATCTAAAACTTAAAACGAATAGCTAATGCCCACGTGACGTTCTTAAGCTGAGTATATTTGAATGTTAATAGATGAGCTGGTTTATTAGACCTACGCATCAAAGGTTCAGCCTGTGATAGCACAGCTTGCAACCGTCATTAATACTTGGCCACAAGATCATTTATATAATGTACATCATCACTACAAGAAGTTCTATGTCATCCTAATATCAAAAATCCTTGGTTTACGGCAAAAGAGCTTAAATCTGCACCATAAACCCAAGAAACTTTTTTGGAGATTCGCAAATGTACATAAAGTTTACAAGATTGTCAAGGTTCTACGTATACGATCTGTGAATGTACAAGAGAGAATTCTGCTGCTCAGCACTATGTTCTCTTCAACTTGATTACCCTTAAAATGTTCGTCACCACGATCAGCACTTTGATCCCTACCTCTCTAGCCAGATCGCAACAGTTGTACACGTCAGGAGAGATGTGCAAAACATTCAGGGAGGCGTCTGATGAATATATCAATGGGTAGGTTGCGAACACAATCATGCTGCGAGTGCACACAACCCAAACTCTCGGTTTTATTACTGTCTACGGTTTGCACGTACTGGAACCTATCAGATTTAAACTCTGCTAAGTGATGGCCGACACAGTCGCAACTGTGATACGCATAACCAAGAGAAGTTATAAAAGCGCGTGAGAGCTTCAAATGCACTCTTCAGATTCGCTGTGGATCTCTGTAAAGAGAGAGTTGGAACTACATGGTTCCATCTGTAAGTTCATGGCAGACAGACTCACATTTGTGGCATCTGGTCTAAATCGATATCTGCACTAGAAGTTTGTTTGTTTGTTTGTTTGTTTGTTTGCTTGTTAAAAGAATCCCTTCGCGCCTAAACTACGATATCCTTCACTGGAAGTCCAACCTTCGTCTTGTCCTCGACGCCCTTCAGCATATTCTGCACCACATCGGCCTTAGTCTCCTCTACTTTCGCAGTATCCTTGGTAGTAAGTGCTTCTACCTTAGTCGCCTCACCTTTGCCTTTTTTGAAAGCGCCAGCATTCTTCAATTTAGGGTGGAGGGTACCTTTCTTATGTGCTGCTTTAGTGGCTGGATTACAATACCCACCACATTGTCAGGATACAGGCTCCCAGTGCTTTTAAATAGCTTCCCCCCACCAAAGCCATGCTCATAACAGCAGTACATATGCAAAGATTAGAATCAGCAATCAGCACAGAAGCGAAGGCTTAACAGACCGCATCATCGCACAGCCATGATTACAATAGTGGTACTTACCATCATTACCACCAATGTGTTCACCTCCGACAAAAACATTAGGCACTGTTCATTGCTTAGAGACTTCCCCAAGCTCATTTAGCATCTCAGCTCCATCCTCTGCCACCCCGACTAAAGTTAGAACACAGTTCATCTGACTTGAATAAATATCCCATTGAAGGACGTAGTGCTCAATCTCATACACCGATGGTGAATATGCTTTCACGAACGATTCACATGCATGCTCACGAACGAGACCTGCACTTAGGCTTCTATGGCTAGCATCTAGAACAAAAAGGAACATATTTGTAACACTTGCAACAGCAGGTATCCCTTTCACAGCGCTTGATATATTCCAGGGAAAACTTAAATAAGTCAGAATCCTAACCAACAGATGGCAAAAATCACTGATTCTGCTTTAGATGCTATGCACTGCTTACTTTGTACTTTGATTCGAACAGACTAGTCATGTTCTGAATCTGAGAGGAACCTGAATGTGAATACAAGATGGAAAATACAAAATAAACTTACTTTCTCTGTCGAGTTCTACCACTTTAGCTTCAGCCCCTAAACCCTTCAGGAGCTCCTTGACGTTTCGGCAGTAGGGGCAGTAACTCTTGCTGCAATTTTAAAGCCCATACAAGCAGTGGGTCAAGATCATGCTGTCTTCACATTCTACCACACTATAAAACTAACTGCCAACACTCCACGGTCCCAAAAATTGATCACATAGCATGAACTCTCATCTCCACGAGGGAAGCATTTTATGTGAAAATTGTTTACTTTTACAAGGACAAGATATCGATATCAAACAAAAATAAACAAAAAAATATCGCTAGCACAGTTCTCCATCTACAAGAGCACAAAGACAAATTCAAGAAACTGTCGGAGAAGAGTCTCTGGCCCTCAAAATCTAAGAGACGAGGTAGAGGGTCCCTTATACTTGCAATTGCATTGTGTATTTTACTTGAATGAAGACAATATATTTTTTTTTCTTTTCACTCAATCATTTAATAGAGCAATTCTGCAGCATCGGAAATCGGAGCACACCTGCAACTTAACCACCTTTTCAAGAGCTTTTAGAAGTGGAGTGGAAAATCCTTATGGAATGCCCACCTGAAAATAATGAGAGGATTCTGCAGTATCAACTCTTGAACCTTCTCGACTCCCATGGCTCCAACTCAAAAACAATCAAATTCCACGCAATAGCCTAATCTCTGTAGAGGCCAACTCAAAAGATTTAACTAAAAACAACCCCAACTCTCAAGCAAGCGTTTCAAGTTCCAGTGGCGTTTTGAGAAAATGATCTTGAGAACATTTTCTAATGAGTGAACGATCCCAGAATGCAAGAGGACGAGTTACAGAGTGGAACGAGGAAGCTTATTTACGCAGGAATAAGGGAAGGGAAGGGAGGAAAGGGAATTCTGAGTGAGTTAGGTGCATGGGAACGTGACAAATGGATGCGATGGCGACAGGTTTCATGCTCTCATTCATCCCCAACAATCCCCTCAAGCTGGAGATTTGATTCACTCCATTCTCACACACACACACAATTCTCTCTCTCACATTAAGAAGTAAAGAAACAGCTGAGCTGAGAGAGAGACAACAGGAGGCCCAGGCCCAGCGCCTTTTTTCCATCCATTCCTGCCCTTCTTTCATCCACTCTGGCAACATATTTGTTGTTTCAGAGGGTTCACTTGTACAATAATCCCTGTACAGCTGTGCTCTGTAGCTCTAGAAATAATTTCTTGATATATATATATATATATATATAAATATATATATATATAGATACTTTATATTTAGGGATGAAGTGAGAGATCTTAACTTTTAAATGTTTTGATTGGTTGAAATTGGAAAACATTTTAAAGTTGGCTTCATATTTAGATAAATAAGTCCAAAAGAACTAAGAGAAAAAGGTGAGGTAGAATACAGATTCTTACATGATAGTGAATAGTATTGTCAGCTAGAACCTTCCTTTGATAATAATATTGTATAGTATTGTATAGTATTATACATGATATTGAATAGTATTGTATCCAAAGGACAAGGTTTCCAAAAGACAACTTTTCTTCACCAAGCAAGGGACCTCAATAGGATCTGTGAACATGTTCTTTCAAAGTGGGCTTCAAGGTATAAAGTGCTAACACAACAATAACAAAAAACAATAATTATGATATATAAATTATCACATCAATACCAATACAAACTTTAGTGTTATATATTAAATTATCCTTTTCTTCAGAAACTTGTATTTTATTTCTTGTACACAACCCTTTATTGAACAAACACATGCAGAGTTGTTATTTAGGTTTGTAATCCTAAACAATCCAGATATATATATATATATATATATATATATATTAATCTCACACATGGTCACAGGCATTTTTTTCCTTAAAAATAATGAAATAATGGAACCTTAAGTTATCATGACGCATGTTATGCATATTGATATGCATCATTGTAATAAAATTATTCTCAAATTAAAAATATATTTAATTTTTTTCATATTTTTCTTAATTTAATGTTCATATTTAAAAAAAAAATGAACTACAATGTAATTTGCTTAATTGATTGAACTGCAATTTTTTAAAATAAAAATCTTTAATTTTTGAAAGCCAATTTATATAATTGTGGTTACAAATTGAAGGCATCGTTTTTACAAATTTATTTTATTTTATTTTATATAAAAGCGCACTGTCAAACAATTAAAGTTTTGATTGCGAGTTTGAAAATGGAATATTATTTTTATTTGAGTTAGTAGATTGAGAAAATATGTCAAAAACAGTAATGAACTAACTGTCAATGTGTAGTTAGTTCTAGACTAACAAATTGTATGAAGTGCAGATGATCAAAGAATACTTATTTGGGAAGGGGGGGGGTTTGAGTTTTAGAGTAATCTCTGGTCTTAGGGTAATCTTCTCCTTGTTGATGGGCCCCTGCCCTCCTCTTCTTCCTAAACTGCGGTATCTTTTGAAATGAGAAGATTGAGAGAATCTTAAGAGATCAGGTTTATCAATCTAAAAATACATAGACCTTGGGCTGCACAAAAGAGGGAAATGTCTGCCCGAAATAGCAAACGGTCCATTTCTTCACTGGGAGGAGGGGCAGCAGAAGCGGGCAGGAGCCTAGTCGGGCCACCAAGGAAGGGAGGGGGGGAGGGCGGAAGCGGGAACTTCAGGCGCTCCAACCCCTTCACTCATTCTTCTGCCGAGAGCGGGAGGGAGGTTCTGTGACCAAGTTCGCTATGGCGGGAAATCAAGTGCCGGAGCCCAAGCCTTGTGGGCAGCATTCCATCCCTTCCATGTTCACTAATCCTCGCATCCTGTAAGCTTTGCGCATATTTTTTCTTTATTTTAGAAATGAATTTGGAAAAATTTAATTGTTCAATTTAAAAATAAATTAATTGATCGATATGTAATCATGTTTTCAATTGCAGGTCGACTCATTTCCTGCTTGTCTTGAATTCTTGAGTCTATGCGTGACCACATGCGGCGCAATTTCTCTTGCAATGATGAAATGTTTTTCACGTATTGATTGATTGAGAATGGAGAATGGAAAATTTTCGATTATCGTGAATCAGAAATTTTGGAATGTAACCGTTGAGGATCGTAGAGTTGAGCCTGCATTGTGGTTTTTTTTAAAAAACCTTCTTACTATGTGTTGTTGCAGGGGTGGGCGATCAGGAAATGGTCGCTCTTTACCTCTCATGGATTTTCTGAACCGGAAATCCGAGAAACGTGCGTCACTTCAGGTGAGCTAATTCTCGGGGTTTCTGACACGCCTCTTGCACACACACATCATCATCATCAATGAGGCGTATACCGACTTTCAATTGGAGAGCTAGGCGGAACCTCGACAGTCATGATGTACATTAACAGTTCTCACATGAAATTTATTCTTAGATCCAACTGATTTTATATTGTGCAGGGCTGTGTAGTGGATGCTGGTTTGACTCCAGAAGTGATAGAGAGGTTAGATGCGTCTCGTAGGAACGATGCTAGGTAACCTGAAATTGATTTTATTTGATTCTGCAGCAGAGAAAATGTGATGCTGTTAAAACCGCTTTATTGTTCTGCCTTTTTTAAGATCTGTTCCGCTCTCAATCGTCTCAGCAAGGGAACTTATTCACATCGTTCGATTCTCAGTTCTTCCTTCATAATTCACTCACTGGATACTTTGCTTTTGCATAATTGCAGAAGCAATAAGCATTTCGAAAACAGGGAAGACTGCCATGGCATCGGGAAGGACTTAGTAAGTCAATGATTCTATTTTGCGATTGATTTGAAAATGATTTGGGACTCATGATGCAGCTCATTTTTCGTTCTCGTTTTCGTTCACTGAATGTGGTGCAAATTTATCGAGTTTCGTGTTTGCTTTGTTTCAGCAGAGTTTCCAGAGGAAGCTTCTTTGATTCTGCAAAAGAATTTAAAATTTTTGAGGTCAGAAAGCTCGCAAATGTTTAATATTCCAAAACCAAATTACCCCATAGTTGGCATCACATTGCAGGATACCTCTAGACAGGGTAAGGACATTAGTGAGTGTCGTACATCAAACCGCGAGCTGGTGTCTTCAACAAGCAAGCCGTGGAGAAGGGCCCAAGCATTTGCAGAGCCTAGCAATGGTAAGCTGAATGAATGTCTCGAAGATTCAACAGTCATATCTCACGCTCCCGACCGGTCCACGGGTCAAGTTCATATATCCCTCAAACTGGAGATATTCAACAGTCGAAGTAGTTCCAGTACTGCTGTGGAAGCACGCTGTGACTATGAATTCCTGGAACAAAATTCGGACAGGCTTATTCAAAGTAATGACACTCATCAATTTCAATGCCGTAGCATGAACTTCATTGATTTGACTGAAGATGAAGATCCGGCACTCCAGAGGTTGGGAGGCAAAAATCATTCACATGAGAACACTGAAACCCAAAGAAAGAGGAAAAGATCGCACGCTGTAGCCGCTGAGGAGGCAATGGCGAGGTGTCCCGTCTGCAATGATCTTTTCCCTCCACATGTATAGTGTTCTTTTCCCTTTCGCCTCTTGACAATTGAATGTCATGAGACATAGCAGTTTTTAACACGTCCCGAACATGACCTTGCAGTTTTTGATATGTCCCCATTATGACTTTTGCAGGTATTACAAGCCCACGTGGAATCCGAGCTAGATTCTTTGGTACTATTTATCTTAACCTTCTTCTCGACAGCCAGATTAATTAGGATTATCATTCGGTCTAAGCATTTGTGTCACTATCCAGTTGCGGAACTAAAGCATTCTGCCATTTCGTTGTGCAGGAGATGCTTGGAACAAGCTCAGAACCTGAAGCATACGAAGCACCCGGCTTTCATGTTCGTAGAAATGAATCTCAGGAAAATAAACAAGAGGATGGAAGTACGTGGGATCGTCATGACATAGCCTCAGGTATGAGCAATGCCATCGATATTAATGTGCAAGTGCAGAATATGTACTAGTTTCTGTGTACGGCATTCGAGCGTTTTTCTACATATTGGACTGGATCATGTGCGAATAGAAGTGTTTTCTGCTTTTTCCACGGTATTCCTCGTTAAGCTCGTGAAGTATATGCAGAATGCTCAACGCTGTTTAAAGAATCAAACTTCAAATCTAGGCCAAAACGAAGTCTGCTGGTGCTTGGAGATGAACCGAAGAACAGAAAACCGACCTTTCCGCGCGAGAGCAAGAAGCCTAACACTACCTTCAACCATTGTATGCTATTTTCTCGTCACCTTAGATATGAGTCACATCGAGTTGGTGTTTTCATGTAATTCAGAACTTCACAGAATGTGGGCACATAAATTATGTGACGTCTCATGATGCGTATACAATGTGTTCAAATGAAGCAGAGGAATAACAACGTTAAGAATTCTTACATATCAGACATCTTGCAGATGCCGATGGTGCTGGTTGGTTTGATGAAGGAGGAGTGGGTGTTGACGTAGAAGCCGTGGGTTCAGCCTGCATTTGGGAAGGTCTCGGATCCATGAGTTTTGGGGGAACGCTGTAATGCTTACTTGCTTAAACGCCAATGATAATTATCATGTCCTTTTCGCCTGCTTTTCACATAGAGAACGATAAAAGGGCTTGTAAATTCTAAACCTTTTATTTAATGTACATGTTTCAAGTATCCTCCGTGTTATATGCCGAAACATGCGTAAGTTTTTTTCATGTCTGATTATTTAGGAAACGGAGGTTTACGCAACTGTCATTGAATTTCATCACAAACTGCTGTTATGCCTCCATACGAATTGTTGTGGAATCTCGCCCTTCAGGTCAATCTGTAGCCTGAATACGCTAGTAATGCATAAATTATTACACAGAATAAAAATGTGGAATGTGAGAATATTCGAGATTGAAAATGAAATTGAGAAAAAGAGACTGGATGACTATAGAACACAAGGAAACCGCCAGCTTACAAATACAAAAGAATTAGAATATATCTCCTAGAACTTAAGAAGACAATGATACAGCTTTCTTCAACTTTGTCCTCAACCTCTCCACGGCAGTCTTCAGAGTTTCTTCGTCCTTACAGAAAGCAAATCTGACAAGGTTCTTGCCGTCTTCCGGGTTCGTGTAAAAGACGCTAGGTGGGATCGCTGCTATGCCAACTTCTTCAATCAAATACTTGCAGAAAGCAACATCGTTCTCAAATCCAAAAGGGGTATGATCTACCATGACGAAGTAGGTCCCTTCCGGTTCATAAACCTCAAACCCTACGCTATTCAAACCTTCGACAAGGATGTCCTTCTTAGCGCTGTAGCTTTTAATCAGCTCTGCATAGAATGAATCAGGTGCTCGCAATGCTTCTACAGATGCCCATTGGAGTGGCGTTGCAGTTGCAAAGGTTAAGTAAGAATGTGCCAAACGGATTCCCCGGGTCAGATGTGGTGGTGCCACAGCCCATCCAATTTTCCATCCTGTCAAAGAGAATGTCTTGCCCAAGGAATTCATCGTCACTGTCCTCTCATACATGCCATCCAGTGAAGCCAGCGACACGTGCTCTCCCTTGAAGACCAGCTTATTGTAGACCTCATCACAGAAGGCAAGGGTATTGTGTTCTTTGCATAAAGATGCGATGAGCTCCAGCTCATGCCGAGGAAACACCTTACCGGTAGGATTGTGAGGAGTGTTCACAAGAATTGCCCGAGTTTTGCTTGAGAACGCTGCACGAAGCTCCTCCTCTGGCACAGCAAATTCCGGAGCACGCATTGTAACTGTTTTCAGGATCGCACCAGACATGGACACAGTTGCTTGGTAAGAATCGTAGAAAGGTTCGAAGACGATAATCTCGTCTCCGGGGTTAACTAAACCTAAAACAGTGGCGGCAATTGCCTCAGTGCAGCCCGATGTAACTGTCACATGGGTTTCCGGGTCTACAACGATGCCGCTTTCTTTATTGAAGCTCTCTGCGATGGCCGCATTGAGCTGCGGTACACCAAAACCCCTCGCGTATTGATTCTTGCCACCGTCTCGGATGGCTTCAATTGCAGCATTCTTCACGAATTCGGGGCCATCGAAATTGGGAAAACCCTGGCCTAGATTGATTGCATTGTGCTTCGAGGCGAGGATGCTAATCTCAGTAAATATGGTGGTCTTGAACTGCTCAAGCCGCTTGGCAACCTGAACCTGAAAACCGGAATATGGTATAGATTTTAAAAAATAAATACACACGGTGATAATTACTTTCCACTCGCTCTCTCAACAGCACCTCTGTAAGGTGAAAACACCTCCAGAATTCAGGATATTTGTCTCTGTCCTGAAATGCGTCCTACATAAGCTTTGATTCTAATCTAGGCAAAAGAATTTGCAAATCCAGAGCAAGATGAAAAGAAATCTAGACTAGCAACAAAATTTCTCCACTGAAGTCCAGAAAACCTCAAAATCATTACTGTTCAAGCCAGGCACACTGTCTACCACCGCCCGAAAAAAAATGAAAAACATTCCCAGCACATGTAACAGGAATTGCCACAACCTGTAGCAATTCCACAAGAATATGGAAGTACGAAGGCCGCGCACCCTAGGAGGATCAGAATTCTGTGAAGCAGGCATGGCAGACTCCTGCGCTACGCCATTAATGGACAACGACAGAGACGCCATGGTTACCCCAGGCGACGACAATATTCCACCCTTCCGGCTTGCGCGGCGAGACCAGGCTGAAGACGAGAATCGAAGGCAGGGGGCAAATGAAGCCAGGCCTGGCATTAGTGATGCCAACGTCTTGGCGATCGCCAGCTCTTCTATCCTTGAAATCCAACAACAGCAGGACAGATCAAAGAGAGTGGAAGCAACTGAGATAGAAATGGGGTTGAAGCTCTCGTCGAGGAAAGCACATTCCCTTGCAGCAACATACTTTTTTCTTTGCAGCAAACAGCACTACAAAGCCTCACGAGATTCTCCAAGTTCTTTTCCATTCGCCCTTCACGTTTCTGTTCCTGCCCCTTGTTAGCGCGAGTGCCACATATATTAAAATATTATCTATGTAATCTGAGTCATGACACGTGAATATGCCTCAGGTAACAGAAGTCCTCCAAGAACCAAATTTAGAAAATGTCTCATCCAGCGTAAAGAAGCTTGAAACCCTAAATTGAACCTCAGCATATAAATGTGCTTGCTGTATTTGCGAAGGTTTCTATCGCGACGACCGAGGGCGGGATTTTGAAACTCCGGAGATAGCAGATTTCGGTGAGTGAGCTCGTTCAATGGGAATGGACAATGCCAATAAACAGTGCGATTTTTCCGAAGAAGGCACCTCCTATTCCAAATCTTTACTGTCTGTGATGGAGGCAAAGTGAGGAATAGCGGTGACTGTTGCTTTGCTGGCGATCAAATAAATGGGATGTTTTCTCGGTCTGCCTAGTTTGGGTAATGCTGATTGAGGCGGTAGGGCGGGGAGTTATTGACTTGATGAATGTAATTTGATTGGGTGTGTATTGGTGGTGAGAGAGACCTGGAAGCAGATTGCGTCGGAAGGAGCAGGTTCTGGAAGTTGAGAGAATAGGTTTGATTGATGTTTAAAATCTTGTTGGTTTTTGTCTAACATCAGTTTAAGGAGGGGAAGAGATACGATCATTTTGATGCTTTATAGCAGAACTTTCTCGCTTTGTAGTATTGATTGAGGAGTTCAAATTTGTTAGAAATTGTGGTTGTGGAGTTGCGAAGTGATGCATACTCCGAGGATATGAGAAGCTCGCGAAAGAGGAAAGAACAATCGCGGCTTGAATGCTTGATTGGCGATGTTTTGAGTTTTCTGTCTTCCTCGTTCTTGCGTTTGCTATCATTTTTTTCTTGGTTCTCATTTTCGTTTATTTTATTTATGTCAATCTGATGTCACTTATTACTTAACCTTTGATCTGTCATATCATGTTGGTTTTATCAGGGTGCGAGATCACGAGGGCACCCGCTACACCCCGCTGCTGTGCTTTCACCAATGGCAAGAAATGCTCTGCCTAGTGAGGCAGAAAGGTGCCATGAAATCTCCGCAAGCGAAATGCATGGCAGTCTGGCACCAGGCAAGAGACGGGCGGAGGGAACAAGGGCGGAGCTCATGAGGAAACGGGAGAGGAGAGAAACAGTTCCAGACAGCTGCGGAGGAGCAGGTGGTATGGTGGAGCGCACGCGAAAGAAAGAGGTGCGCAACCGCAGCAATGGAATGGGCCGAAGGTTCCAGAAAGTGGAAAGGATATGGACCGAGAGGATAAATTACTGCTTCAATGGCTTCTCTTAGCCTCCTCCTTTGCCTTCCCTTCCCTTGTCTCTTGCGTTTCTTGCAACATCTTCCATCGCCGATGGCATATCTACTACAAGCAGTGGTGAACACAAACATGAAAGCAGAAGTGCTGTCCACAGAGAGAGAGAGAGAGAGAGAGAGAGAGCCATGTGCGGATGTTGTAGATGTTGCATGGGTTGAGCTGCCTTTTGGTGTCGAGCAGAGGAGTCGAAGGATTGATCCGAAGTTGAAATGGAGTAGTCTACAACTGGATGTGAGGTTCCCGCTTTTAATGATTCCTTGTATTGGTCTCTAGAGGGCGGCAAAGGAGAGGGGGAGGGAGAAGGTGGGGGTTGCATTCAGGAATGATGTTCCTCCCTCTAGATACGTGCTTACTTCTCCTCCTCCTCCTCCTCCTGCTGCTGCCCTTGTCGTTTACTTCCTCTTCGTCTTCTAATTCTTCTGCGTAGAGTAGCGTAGGTTCAAGCGGCACTGGGCAAGGGAAGGTATCCCTTCCTGGAGCAGTTGTCGTGTTGAGCTTGGAATTGTGCTGCATTCTTCTCCTCCCATGCCATTGCCTTCCATGGATTGGGTTCCGTTTCAAGTATCCAGTTGTTCCTTCTAAAACTCGAACATGTTCCTCAACTTCTGGTGTCACCCAGAAGGTGAACTCAATTTTGAAATATCAATTTCTCGGGGAAAAACACTTGAATTTTGAATGTAGAAATCACAATGATTCTTCAGTGAGTGGGTATTTCTCATTAATTTACAATTGGATATAATTGTTAGGTGGACATTAAATGAAATTTATAATAGTTCAGCTGAATATCAATGTGAGTATTAATATGGTTGGTTGTCCATTTGAAAAAATGCTGAAGTTCGTAAAACATGTAGGAAACTGATCTCAAAGGTGATCTAAATCGAAGGAAAATTAATCATCAATTAGGGTAAGGGAAAAATACCAAGACTTGTCTTCTACTGATCACATGCATGATTTAATCGAGATAAATCATTGTACTTGAAGAGAAACCATGACTTGATGTAGGTGTAATCATTACAATGAATATGTTAAAACTAACAAAAATTAATATTATGTCAACAATATGTTACTGAAACATCCATTTTAGTACAATTTTTTTTATTATAAAATAATTAAATATTTATTATTACACTGATATATATATATATATATATATATATATATATATATAATCATTTTTTATTGTTATAAGTCTTTGGTTTTTTTAACTATTTTTCTTTGCATTTCTGTAGTTTTAGATTTTGCAGAATATTACTGTATCGTTTCCTAATACTGCCATTATAGTTTCATATGCATGGACATACCACTACAAAATGTAAAAAAAATATTCAAACTTTGGTACGAACTAAAAATTGTTCTTTTTTTTTAAATGTCAGAACTAAAGTAAAAAGATAGAAGTTTGAAATGTTAGAATTCTTGAATTTAAAATGTTGTTTGAAATGTGTGTGTTTACGTCTATAAATATAAAAAATCCTTTTAAAAATCATCATTAGTATTACATTAATGTTTGAAAAATACTTTTAATCAACGTTATATAATTTCAAATGCTTAAATTTTTTTATTCTTTTTATGTATGTATGCTTTAAGGTTATAAATTTTGTGTTTTCTATGCTATCTCATTTTTATTTTATTACTTAAATTTTTTTATTGAATAATATTTATATTACCTTGTATTGTATTGAATCAATAATCATTATCATTAATGATAGATTTATATTTTAAACTGAAAATACTTATAATTTGAACACAAAACATGCCAACCAAATCCTACAAAACTAAAATACATAACCAATGCAACACAAAGAGAATCTTAGGAGTGTAGAAATAGCAACCAGTAAGAATTTCTGATTAGGTACACAAGCATGGTTACAGAGCCCTTGAGCAGAATCCTTCCCAAATTGCTCACTGCTGTACAACCTTTGGTTCCTCACAACATGTATTTTATTAGATTGAGTTGCAGGCAAACCTTGTCAGAACTGGAAGAGTGAATTGTGCCCTTTAGGATCTGTGTCTGGGCTTTCTGTTTTTATGAAACGTTGGAACAAAACATTGGACTGTTTTGGATAGAGTTCAGGCCCATTCCATCTGGTTGCCAAGGGAAAACATTTTGACGTTATGAACACCAAATATACCACAAGCCTGTGTGTGGGAAACTAAGTGATCAATAGTTTAAAATTCGAGAAAAACCGAATTCTCCTCGCAAGTTTCTTTAGGGAAGTCAATATTCATCTGGACTGCTAGAACAAACAAACACCCTAAGTAAAGGTTACGACCTCCCTTTTAATCGAGCTACAACAGAAGATCCTTATTCATTGTTGGACACATGTTGGAAGTGTGCCAACATATGATTCCCATTATTGTTACATTGTGAACGGAAGCTCGAGAGGCACCAAGTACCTTGACGAAATCAGAGTGATCCTAGTGCACCTTGTGACTATTTTGTGTCACAACCATAGCTGCAACATTTGTTGTAATTAGACTAGCAACATCTGTCTGCATTAGTCGAAACTCCCTATTTAGACGCACTAGCTTCACATTGCAGTCGAAGAGGACTCTTAACATTGACTCCGGAGACATCGGCGCACATTAAATTTTTATTTTTGCAATGCTCATAACTTCGGCCAAAATACACCTGAGCTCAGCAGGTCAAAAACTGATGTGCTGGCGCTTCATTAACCTTTTCTCGAAGCAGCTCCTCCTGGCTTCATAAGCCCTCTCTACCAGATAATACATACAAATCCATGCACTTGTTATTTGACCTCGCCGTTTTCTCTATTCAATGGGTTCAATGTGTTCCTGTTCTTTATGACTCGTAGTTATCGGCCTTATTTGAGAGAATAACAGTGTAGTGCGCAAAAATTATAGATCATGCCTCATTCAATTGTGCGTCATGTTGGATCGTGCCAGCTGTGCGCCAGTATCAGTATTCTCGATCTATATGACAAAACGCTCGCAAACTGCCAACGATCATTTGGAAGCTGAAGCCTCCACTTGAATTGTTGATAAGTGCTGTTCTCAAGTTTGTGTCAGTTTATATGTTGAGCTGATTATACGGACCTGAAACGACAGATACAACATTACATTTCCTACTGCGCTTCACCTTGAATATTCAATCCCCTTAATCAAGAATTGAGACCCATAATCCGCAGCAGCGGCTATGCAACATTAACTGGTGTTTATCGCAATACCTTAAAAAACAGAACAATTACAGTAAAAAATAACTGCAACAAAGCAACAGTGTCGCAAATCACCTCACCACTCCGATCGATGCCATTGCTGTGAAAAAGTGTGCAGTCCACGAGGTATTCATTGTTTGGCATTCTTGTCCTAACTCACGAATCGTTCCTGTTGCTAAATGTCAGGTGAGGAAGGCGATGACCACAGAGCCTACAAACCTCCCGTCGTCTCCCTCCTTCAGAATAGGATCCCAATCTGCCTCACAGATGCCACCAGACTAAGTCCTCTCCCACGAATTCGTCGTTTTGTCCGAGTGGATTATTCTACTTTTAATATACAAAATGTCGAATAGCATACTGTCACTCTTAGGTGTCTTTCCTAACAGACTCAATAATTTCACATGAATTATCCAACCGGGCATTTGGTGTGTAAAAAAGAAAACAAAAATGCAGTGCAACTTTCAATAACATTACCAACAGTACTTTCAAGTATAGTTCATTGGGGAGATTTCAATTTGATGAAGAAAAGAAAAAACTCTGAATAAACGAAGTAATTACTGCACGGTGCAAAGGTACAAGAGATTTGTGATTCACTTCTCACAGGTCAAGGATCACACAACGCTCCCTCCTCCGTTTCAGTACATAACACTGGTGGACGGGTGAGAGCATAAATGGAGCACAAACAGTGCATTCAGTGTTGGAAACGAACGTCAGTCATAAGGCAAAGATTGTGATGTAAAAAATTAAATAATAGAGGACGGAAACATCTCCGCAATAAAATATTCTGCATCTCTGCAGTCACTGAATTGTAAACTCAGGACTTGTCCCTCCAGCTTAGAAGGGGCCGTTTGGAAACTGTAGATTCGATCAAAACATACACATGCAATGAGACGCACCATATGGGCCTACCGAATAACACATGCTACAAACTCGAAAAACCTTGCAAGCTTAGCAAACTAGTATTCCGGTGGCTCGCAAGAAAGTACAGAAAATACAACTTCGCATTAAAGCAATGAGGTGGAACACAGGATCATCCGTAAAATCAACATGAATATTTTCAGCACATGACAGCAGACGTGACACCAACCTCATGAAGCTAGCACTCATTCAGTGCGCTTCAAACGTTGGAAATAAATGTAAGCGTGTTTTTCTCCCAGGCACATCAATAAGGTTCGTGCACAAGCCAAGGGATCATAATCAAACAAAAGTCTATGTTCCTCAGAGAAAAACAACAGAAAATTGACGGATCTGTGTGAACTCAATAATGTACAACTTAGTCGACAGGGAAGTTTAGCAGTGGATTCTCTCAAGCGCAAAGCGAACCTAATGTGTAACCAATCTTCCTTCCCGTCCCTATTTGAATTCCTATAAAGAGCATTGGTGGAATACTACCTGATCAGAAACGTCGGACCCAGGAGAAGGCTTTATGAATACTACTGTACATATGAAATCCCAAAACCGATTAAATAACATACAGATATCCTGTTCGAAGGAAGTTCTCAATTCAATGTGTCTCGGTATTATCGTCATTAAGTTCAAGTGTTGCCCATAATAAGGCAGTCGACTTTGGACCAACTGCTTCTGGAGACATCTTGAGGACCTCTGCTAACATGTTTGTAATCTTCCGCATGGATGGCCTTCGATTCCTGGACAAGAGGCAAAGCTGGATAATCTTGCAGAGCGCAACCAAGTCGTCGTGATTATACGATTTAAGAGATGGATCAACCATGTACCACACCATCTTTGAATCGCTCAGATATTCGTTTGCCCAGTCCACAAGATTTCCTGTCAGTTCACTGTGCTGGACGCGTCCGCTAATAATCTCTAGTAATAACAAACCAAAGGCGTACATGTTACTCTCGAAGTCTGGACTAAGGCGATCCGAGCCCTCAGAATCATCATAACCAATTACTCGAGGCGCCAACCAACTGTTCTTTTGACGTTCAGATCTTGTTAAGGACATCTTTGATACTCCGAAATTCGCAACTTTTGCAGCGTAGTCATCAGTCAAAAAGATGGAATTCGAGTCCAAATTCAGGTGACTCGCAGGCGGGACAAGCTCATGATGCATGTACGACAGCCCATAAGCCGTCCCCATGATGATGCGCATGCGGGTAGCCCAGTCCAAATGCTCGCTCTCCTTGTTGTGAAGATGGTCATACAAAGTTCCATTGCTGGCATACTCAAAGACGAGAATACGAGTGAAAGGCTCCTCTTCAGAAGTATATCCAACAAGGTTGACTAAGTGGGGATGTCTCATTCTTGCAAGAGCCTCGACTTTCCGGCGGAAGGATAATTCTTTCTGTGTGCTCCAGTTCTCTATAGAAACACGCATACTGGTGGCAGCGATCTCTGTCCCATTGGAAAGAGTTCCTTTGTACACGATATTGTCCGAAGAAGATCCTATGATATTACTGAAGTCCTCACAAGCCACCTCAACTTCCTCCCTTCTAAGGAGAGGTGCCTCAGTGCCAAACACGCGCTGCAGCTGCCCACTCATCCCTTGCTTCCAAGGACGCACAGCCGTGGACCGTCTCTTGTAACGGAAATAGGCAATTGCTGATATCGAAATCACGATCACTATGACAAGAGCAGAGCCAAAGCCTAAAAGGTACACCAAGCTCTTGCTCAGTTCACCAGAATCTGTTGGCGAGGAGGGAACAGGAGCTCCTTCTTCCAGAAGGTTCCTTTTAATGTGAGGCCCGACATCAACGCCCAACCGGCGGAAATTAACATTCATCCTCGCCTCTTGCAATACACGACCAGACACCGAGGCCCCAAAAACAAACAAACCAACCAGCACCCCCACCAGATTCGGCTTTGAAGCTTTCATCTTCATTGTATTCGTAGAGCCCTACTTGTTCGGAAACCCTGTTCTGCACTTCCTTCGCTGCGTCTTCGCCTCTTTCGCTTTTCCAGTCTCCCAGACGCTACAAAGTGGTTGTTCTTGCTTCAAGATTACAAAACCTAGGTAAGCCATATCTGCTTACTCATGCCCTTGCATGGAACACCAGTGTTCCATTCGGAAGGAAAACCTACCTACCTTCTACCACGGCTTCGATTTGGGCTTCAATTTCGACTTCGATTCATTCCGGGAAACCACCCGAAAGCCAAGTGCACGGCTGTACCCACAAAATAAGCAATGCCTATCCCTTGAGCACCTGCCCATTCAATCCACACGATGAAATGACATGCAGCAATCCGTCGTTGATTACAGAAGATGTTCCTTCAATGCTCCTACCCTGCCCACCTGAAAACATACAACGCTTAATTCTGGCTTCACTAAGAAAATATCTCTTGAACAAAGATTGCCAAAATAAAAAGAAGAAAAAGGAGAAGAAAAAATGAGGAAGTCTCAAGATGAGCTGGTCTAGCGATTTACAAAGCCTTACACGACAGTTTTACATGATCACACAACTGTTCAACGGTAATCTTGATTAGCTACAAGAATCGCCAGCAAGAAGCGCCATACTCGATTCTCCTCATCCAGAATGGCACCTGCCATGACTCTTCATACAGCGAGATAGACATGCAAGTCTGGCTATGACCAGAGATCAAACACCTTCTTGATCACGCAATCAATTCTCTTCGAGCGCGAAGACTACTAACCCACAGCAACCAAACCCAGACTCGCCCGGCACATCACATACATCAAACTCCTAAAGCACTCTAGGGTCGCACCTTTGATGAACGCGAACCTCGAGAAAATCGCCACCGAGAAGAAGAAACAGCTGGTTCTGTCGTGGCGATTTCATGAACAAGCGCAGTATTGAACTCCGACGCTTCCTAGACAGCCGGCAATGGGATTGAATTTTTAGGACGGAGAGGAACTGCACAGAAGGGATGGATGGGAGGCACGCAGGACAAGGCCGGTCGTTGATGACGACGTTGACGGAACCAAAAGAGAAAAGGAGGGAGGGAAGTGCAATCAGCACAAAGGTCGTTGAAAGGCGGCCCGTGCGAAAGAGGGGTCTAGCAAGGTGGGTCTTTGAAAGACGACCGGGCCATGACTAAACAGGATACCCAAGGAAAGAGAGGGCGCTGGAGGAGAGGGGGTCTAGAAAAGGAGCACGACGATCGCGGACATTGTCGATGGCTGAACGGGATTCCGGGGGGGAGGATGCGACTCAGCCCTCACCTCTAATCCTGCAGAAACAGCAGCAGCATTCGCGTTCCTGTGGGGGGAGGAAGAGGGATGGAGGGTCTCCTCCTCCTTCTGCTCCTCCTCCGCAGCTGCTAGGAATGTCCCGAATCCTCGTTTTCGCCTCTGCCCTGCACTCACTCACACACTCCTTCCCCTCCCTCCCTCAATCAATCAATCAGTGAGTCAGCCAGTGAGTCCGCATGGCTGACTCACCTCCCTCCCTCCTTCCCTCTCTCCCTGTGCTTACTTGATGTTTTTATTGTTGCTCCCACCACCAATACCACTCCTGATTGCTTTAGTTGGGCTCAATTCCTCCGCTCTCAGCCACGATGACCCCACACAGCGCTCTCTCTCGTCTCTCGTCTATCTCGTCCCTCTTCTTTGTGTGTGGGTGCGTGTGACCCCACCAGTTGTCGTGTACTGCCCAGTCAGACATTTGCTAAGCTTTCTACTCCCTGCCCCCAAAGCTAAGATAAGCCTCCTTCATTCCCTACTACTGCTCGTCCTCGTCCACCTTTTGTCTCATCATCCATATGATCTCTCTCCCTAAGAAGACTCACCATTTGTACTCTACACTCCACTCTTGCTTACCACCTACATCAGTCCTTCCCTCCTCCTTCACTTCCCTCCTACCTGCCTAGCCTCCCTCTCACCCACCCACCCACCCACTTGTCCCCCTCCATGCTTTGCTTTGCTTTCAGTGTAGATTTTGAAGAAGTTGCTTAGTCACCTTACATTCCATAGTTCCCTATTCATGTAACCTCTCCTTCCTTGATCTTTATTCCATCCTATAAATGCACATGCAGTTCAAGTATCCAATACATGCTGCATGGTTGCACAATGCTGTGGTTCCAAATTAGAACATGTACTCTTAACCAATATCATCACACATCTACCTTCCAATTTTGATACTTCACATAAGACATCTTGGTAGTATTCTTAATTTCTAATATTTTCATCATATTTTAAATATTAAAATGATATCATCTTTTTATTTCAAAATATTCTTATATATATATATATATATATATATATATGTACACACACACACATACATATACATACATGCAAATGCCTGTAACATATTTCTAGTGAATTGAATAATAACAATAACATATTTTTAGTGAATTGAATAATAAAAATAACGTCAAATTTAGTAGAAGAAATATATCACCATATGTGTATTTGTATTCTTATGATAACAAATAGCAATCAAAATCAACAAAAAAATAATTGACTATTTAAAATAAAAAATAACACAAAATAAAACTATATGTGAAATCCAATTTTTTAAAATATCATATTCCTAATATAAATACAAGTGCAATTTATTAGAAAATATATTAATTTTTTTAAGCTTTTTTATTTTTTATGTTATATGTTTTTTTGCTTTTGGTATATACAAGTCAATTTTTTAAAAATTGAAATTCCTTTAAAATAAAATTAATGACTCAATTCTTATTTCTGATCATTTTATGTTTTTTTTTATGCACATGAACATCAAAAAACAAAAACAAAAACAAAAAATTAAAATAAATATTTAAATGTATACATTATGATTTTTTAAAATTTATTTTAATATATTAGTTATTGATTAAAGGCTTTCTTCACTAATGTCTTTGTCAACAAATTAATAAGCAAGTCCTTTGTTGCACAATACTTCAAATCAATTACTCTCATTTCAATCTTCTCTCTTATAAAGTGATAACAAACTTCAATGTATTTGGTCCTTAAATGATATTTTGGATTCTTTGCAAAAATAAGACATCTTTGATTATCATAGTCCATTGGAGTTGCTTCTATTTGTACTATTCTAATGTCTTCTAAAAGTTGTATTAGATATATTATCTCTATTGTACCAAGGCTTCTTGCCATGTATTTTACCTCTATTATTGAACTTACAATTGTCAATTGTCACTTGTAATTCTATAAAATAGATTTTATTCCAATATAGAATACATACCTTATTATTGACCTTCTATCATTTATATCTGTAATCCAATCTACATCACAATTATTATGCAAAATAATAATATTATTTTTAAAAGACAATTTTAAGTGCAAAGTGTCTTTTAAATATTTCATGATCTCTTTGATGGTAGCTCAATAGATTGATCTAGCTTTTTATATGTATTGGCTCATAACTCTCACTACATATGCAAGATCCATCTTTGTGCCAATCATTGCATACATAAGTGAATCTATTGCTATCTTGTATGAAATACCTTGTATTTAAACTTCAACTTCATCAAACTCTTTATCTGTGAGCTTCATCAACTTTAAATTGGTGTCCAATGGTGTACCTATAGGCTTACACTCCTTTGTATTGAATCATTACAACACCTCTTTAATATACTTGTTTTGTCCATTATAATAGTCTTCTTAGCATGATCTTTCATAAATTCTATTTCTAAACAATAATGAAGCTCTTCCAAATGACTTATCTTATATTCTTTTTCTAACTTTATTTTTAACCAATCTATCATCTTCAACGTATTGATTAAGATGATCAAATTATGAATATAAAAGACAACAATCAATAAAAATTTATTTGATTTCATTTCATATATAAAGTAATCAACTTCACTCCTTAAAAATCCTTCAATCACAAAGAATATATCAATATATTAGTATTAGGTCCTTAGTAATTACTTAAGTATATATAAAGATTTTTTTAACTTATAAACAAAGTGTTGTTTGATTTTTTCAATAAATTCTTGAAGTTGATTTATGTAGATGTCTTTTTCTAATTTTTCATTCAAAAAAACTATCTTTATATCTATTTGATATATTTTCAAGTCCATTGTTATCTTTATTACTACAATGATTCTAATAGTAGTGGATTTGGCCATGAAAATAAATGTCTTATTGAAATCAATACCAAAAACTTTTAAATAGCCTTTAGCAATAAGTCTAGCTTTATAAATTTACAACATTAATCATTCTACCCCTCTTGATTCTAAACACTCACTTATAATTAATTGAAGATCAATTTGGAGGAAATTGAATCAATTCCATATACTATTATCTATAAATGATTTGAATTCTTCTTTTATGTCCTCCTCGCACTTCATTGCATCCATGGATTTTATTACATTAGACAAACTCAATGGATTAACAAAGAGCACAATATTGGTATGTTCTTCATTTATTTGAAGAAAAATATAGTTCTTATATTATTCATCAAGTTTTTTTTTTTTTTTTTTTTTTTTTTTTTTTTTTTTTTTTCAAAAAATATCTCCTTTCATTTGATGAAGATTCACATTCATATATTCTAAGGTTTCTAAAAGCTTCTTTTATCTTAAAACTTGTCTCTTCACATTCAAAGATTACTACTTGTTGTTTTCGTTGTGTTCAAGCTTCAGTATTCCAAAGCAATTGAACTAATAGAGGTGGATTTGAACATGCGAAAAGACTCGTTATATGAATTGGGTCTGTTAGTGTTACAATTGACTGTACTCTGGCTATCTAAAATCATTTATCAAACTACAAAATACCAAGGCTTACTACTTCCATCTTAATTCAACCCATAATCTATTCTACGACTATCAATTCAACAATACTTCTATATTCTTATCCATTCATCTTCAACTTACTTTCTTTGTGATTTATATATATTCAATTATTGATCTCCAGCTTACCTATTGTATTCAATTTTTCAATTCATTACACAGAATTTAATATCTCGGCTTGTGATTCTCATAGTTTGGCTCCGATCTCCTTTTTTTCAACCTCTTTATCCTACCAAAAGATGGACCATCCGCCAACGGATTCCAAAGGTTATGGCTATTTGAATTCTTAATCATTTATTCTAATAACAACCTAATGTTACCAACTAAACTACCTAACCATCAGTCTAATTCTCAAGGTTATCAATAACCAACTAATAACTTACCACAAAATTTATTTACCTATTCTACATAGTCCCACTCCTAATTGTGCAGTGCCTTTGCAAACACACAATTGTTACCTATCTAAAAACTACTTAAAAAAACTCTACAAAGGTACTATTTCCTTTGGCCCACCCAATTGATCATTTACTACATTATCAAATATGTATTCCACCGAATCTGGTTCCAATTGCAAATCTTCTTCCTCTTTTTCTAGTCCGTCCATCAACTCCTTCCTCAATTGGTTTGAGAGATCTTCATTATACTCTCCCAATTCACGAACTTGAGCCTCCAATTTCAAGATCTGGACATCACGAAGTTTCAATTGATGTTGCTCTTGACTCATCCATTCTGGAACATCTTCAATTGACAATTGTGACTGGCTCCTCACTATTAACTCTTAACTGGAACTACTACTCTCGAAAATACAAGAAATACAAGAAAATGGCACTTCAGCCAACTCAAAACAACACCACAGAATGAATTTAACTGATGCCCCACTCCTATTGTTTTACTCTCTGGTGATAATGACAACATGTTATCCATATTGTCCATGGAAGGTAATGGGAAGTAATCTTTCTTGGTAGCCATATTAAGTTTTCAGAAATCCTAACAAATTCAGATTTTTCCGTTCTTTTTCGGGACCATCAAAATTGGAGAAACTCACTCACTATTCGATACTAGATAAATAAAACCAACTGCAAGAAGCTTGTCCAATTCTTCCTTCACCATGAAGGAATATTTAGGATTAAGGCAATATTGCCTCTACCGTATCGATTTAATGTTCTTCTCTAAAATGATACGATGTTCACAGACTTCAATAGGGATACCTTTTAGATCAACATAAGTCCAAGCAAAAGCTGATTTATGATGTAAGAAAATTTTTGTCCAGCAAGTTAAGTCATGTTCTTTAATATCTTCATATACCTTAATTGTCTGAGGCTTGTTGTGGTCGCCAAATTGATAGTTTGACATAAAGGTGAACGGCGATGTTCTGTTTCAATTCTTGCGTGGATTTCAAATCAGTCGGTAAGTCCGACATGTACAAAGTATTGAATCTTAAGTCCAGGGCACTCACATGGTGCACATCATACTTAGACATCCAATCAATACTAACTTTAGTAGAGATTTCCAAATCTGTCGAGTATATCAAGTACTTCCCCAGACCGCCACATTGATACACCATTCCAAGGTATTGATTTGCTTCCACGGATGCCTCCGTAATCGGTGCTATTACATCATCATCAGTACTAAATTCATCGTCTGATGTCAATTTA